GTTGAGCCATTAACTTGGATGTACGAGGGATGCTTGCTTAATTTGGGGTGAATCATAAATGTAGCCAAGTATGGAGTGACAGTAAAATAGAGTCATTCAACCATTAATTCTTATATTTTAATTTTCAATTTTGTAATCGCTTTTACTCATTTGAAATTGATAAGGCGATTCACAACATCGACACGAAGCTCGCTATGCTCTATTTGGTGAAAGTGGAGATGAATTTGCACCTAACAGCACCTACTCACCACACCTACAGAATGACACACCGCGAGGCCACTCGGCTTCTGAATCTCCTCATATACAAACTCCTCCCAAGGATCCGAGGCACAGTCAAATCGACAACATCTCAAAGTTCTCCCCGTTCCCTCTTTCCCCCAGTGAAGACAGTCAAGGTAAATGTTGGGCTCTGGTCTCGTTTTTACTTATTTCATAAATTAATGGTCGATTTCATTTTATTCTTATGATAGGTATTTTATTATAATTATTTAAGTAATAATTTATCTGAATTCTTGTTTTTTGCACCTTACCATTACTTTCTGACAATTTAAAGTTGATTATTCTTCGAATCTATATCAATATCCATCTTACCAGTCATACATAGATAGATCTTGGCTCATAAAAGAGTCTTTCTCTGATCGACGTTCTCGCGTTTTATGATGGTTTACCTGTCACCATCTCAGTCTTTCTCTTCCTTAAATAAAAAAATTTACGAATGCTTCTCGCTTGTCTGCAACCTTATTCACTGGGTCCTATTTGCCTTGGTCTCGATGGATATGATATTAAAGAGCATTAAATTGTTTTTTTTTCATTTGTTTATTATTGTATGATGCAATAATATGCTTGTGATTTGGACTCAGTTTGATGCAATTTATATTTTAAAATGTATACAGAATCTTATAACTTTCCTTTATATTTTCAACTCAGTTAATCATGCCGCCCGTCTTGCTATCTTCAGCAGCCAGGAAGAAGCTGTATCTCAAGTGCTTTCTGACCCAAACACCGACAGTGGTACGTCAGAATCGCCGCCCCCTACCCTTATTATTTTACTTAGCTTTTAGGATCTAAAAAATTCTTGCCCAAACTATCTTTGGTTAAAAAGTCTGCCATCTAGTTTGCTCTCTATTCAAATAGCCAAAATTATTTGTATCTAAGAAAAAATTGAATATTTTGTTTTCGGAATGATGAAATTCACAGAATTTTGGTTATCTAGTATCATATATTCTGGTTTCACTCCCATTCTAATTAAATAACATTATTTCTCTTATATAAATTTCAATGATCCAAGTTGCCCACATAAAAAATTTATCTTTTTTCCTGTTAGAAATTGGATCCACTAAGCCATGAAGTTTTATATTTTAATTAATGCACATAATTATTTTTCGATTTCGAGGTTATGAAGACCAAGACGGTGTGACCTCCAGTATGGTCGCAGTCACCTTTCGATTTATAGAAGTGGGTTGACTTCATCGCAACTTGGTCTGGTTGTCAAGGCAACTTAGTAGAACGCACCTCATCCGAAGTCCTTTGCCATATTAGTGGACTTAGTACATTGTCAGACATTTCACAGGCATCATCAGCGAGTATTGCCATTCTCCACAGCAAGCTATAATAGCGTTAGAGACAAGTAAAGTCAATCACTGGACCAACTTTCTGCCTAAAGCGGTTACACTATCACTCCTTTTTCTGTTCTGGCCTATTATCTACTCTTTACTCTCTTATCAAACTCCCACCCTATCACAACTTCTCACTTGTTTACATTCCACTTGTCAAAATGTGTGCCTTTTTAGCAAATTTAGTGTGGCCTCATCACACCTGCTATTCACCCTGACTCCCTCTCTTTCAATTGGCTAATCTGAATTTGGTCTCTTATTCGTATATCACTCATGGTCTCTGGTTGACCGATTTCACTCGGTTCCAGTCACACTGTACGCTTTACTCCAGGCGTTATTTCTCAAGGCCCTAGATGCACGTACACTGACGCCTCATCGAGCAGAGCGCATAGGCTCTGATTCCCATGCTTGCAGATATCTAGAATTGTCTTCATGAATCGTCTCCTTGATTAAACACGTGTAACCTAAGCAAACTGTGGATGTCTATCTCTGATCACATGCGGCATCTTAAGTGGATTTTTAGTATATTTGGCAATAACGTCGAATTTCTGTAACGGTTTGCTTATCCGTCTTTCTAGCGCCCTAACTGTCAGGCCCCCAAAGTTTTACCTGTTTAATTGAAGATATGAAGACCAAGATGGTGTGGCCTCGGGTATGGTCGCAGTCTCCTTTCGATTTTTATAAGTGGGTTGACATCGTTGTCACAACTTGGTCTTGTTAACACGGCGACCTAGTAGAACAAACATCACGCACAGACAACGCCTTCGCATGGTTGCCAAAAATCACTACTAGCCCCTTTCTCATCGCGATCCCTTTTCCTCCGGTTAGTGATAGATCCTTGATCCAGTCGTCTCCTTTTTGCTGATCCTGCTGTATTCTTTTTTTTGCTAGTTTGCTTAAGCAGTAGACAAAGTTATCGCTGACTATCCTCCTCCAATCTCTTGTTCATTAGATTTTTCTCCCCAAGGATGTCAATGGCATCTCCTATCTTTTGCTTCCTTGTGTTGCCACCGTATGAGGCCCTTCTTTCTGTTACCTTCCAATTGATCTCGTGTCCAGTCTGTGCGATGTGTTCCGCTAATTCTGATCTTACGGTATCCATTTTCCTACAGAGCCTTATTATGTTCCTTGAATTGTATGTTAATTTTTCTCTTCATTTCATCAGTGTATTTCTTTCGCAGGCGCTGCCTGATATACAGTAAACACATGCACAATCCAATTTGTCTACCCCTTTATGTTGAATCGGTAGACTTTTGGAAAGTGTTGATTTTTTTTCATGGTGACCCGAATATTCAATTTCCTTAATATTGGTTGTAGTTTTTAAGTTAATTCGCAGGAGGTTAGGCATATCCACTTTTGTTAATCTTTCATCATCCCTACTGTTCTTTCATAATCCACGTTCTGCCTTCGGCTTTTCACGGTCCGTATGCTTCTTTGTATTACTTCGCTTGGGTAGCCATTGCCAAGGAATATCCTAGTCATTTTTTCCAACTCCTTGTTCCAGAATTCTACATCCATTAAGCTTAGGCTTCGGATGATCATGCTCCTCGTTATTCCTATCTTTAGCCTGGAATTGTGATGGGACCTGAAATTTACTATTATCCCAGCATAAGAACAATTTATTTT